ATATCGAATGTTCAGTATATAGTAACAACAATTTAAAGTTTTAAATTGATCAATTTATCATCTTGAACTTAAAGCGAATGGTAGGGTAAATGATGACAAACCCGATCAAGATCTCAAGGTTCCATCGTCTCGGGTCGTTGTAGTCCCTAATCTACTAAGTAAAAAGAGATAGTTAACTCAAACTAACTGAAAGATCTTTGTCAGAAATGACTCATTCCAAGAAACTCTTATAGATTTGGGGTGCATGTTTGTCTAATGGTACAAATTTAATTCGAACTAAACTGGCAGAATACTTTATGTCAATCAATTGTACTATTATGATTCACAACTCAAATGATAGAAACTCATTGGGAAATATGTGGGCAGACGTGACCTTAATATAATGATGTCATTTGGCAGCAAAACACATGATCAGATAGTACTTGAACCAAATCACCAAAGACAAAAGACTTGAGTCACGTCCTTATTGGCATTTGATTACTTTGAATGTTACTATAGTGATACATTAGATGTGATATTCACTTTTTGCGATCTAAAACCAATCAAAAATTTGTCACCTTCAAAAAACTGTTGCGGATAGTGAACGAATTTTGATTTGAGCATTTTAGGTGATTGATTTTAATTTCAATATTTTGGTTTGTTATTTTGAGAGCTAAATTTGAAAATTAATTTAAAAATTTGACCCCTCTGATAGAGATTTTTAGTAAACATAGCCATCATCAAGGATTTGATTGATTGATTTGAAGCTTATTGAATTTACTTCTTGTTTGTAAGGGACCGGGCTTAATATGAACATATATTTGAAAATGAACCTTATCAATTATGTCTTGCTTTATATATATGAGTTTATTTAATAAACATTGAAAATAGCCCTCCGGTTGAGATTTTTAATTAACACATTTATCATCGGGAATTTGATTACTTTATTTGAACTTTGTTGATTTTACTTCTTGCTTGTAAATGAGCAGGCTTAATAAGAACATATATTTATATAAACCTTGTCAACCTTGTCTTACTTACAGATGATCGGATTAATTACTTGATTTATTCAATTTCATTTTAAAATTTAATTTTTGAAAATAGATCTCTCTATATTGGGGATTTGATTGCTTGATTCGAATCCTATTACTTTTACCTATTGCTTGCAAAGGACCGACTTACTATAAAATATATTTATACATAAACATTATATATAATTTAAGTTTATTAAATTCCACTTTGTAATTTAATTTTTGAAAATGGACTCCTCCGGTTGAAATCCTCTATCAACTCAACTATTATTTAAAATTTAATTGCTTGATTTATTCAATTCCACTTCAAAAATTTAATTTTTGAAAATAGACTATTTTGATTGAAATCTTGTGTCAATTTAGTCATCATTGAGAATTTGAATATTTGAAAATACTTATATTTATAATTCATTTGAAATTTATTAATTTTTTGCCTTAAAAAAAATGTTTTATTAGCTTCAGTCCTTATAAAGAGGAGGATCGATTAAGTAATTTGAACTTATAAATTTATATAGTTGTTATTTTAATATTATTAAAATTATTAGAATCTTCCACTCCAGTTCTTAAGGGGGATCGGACTAGTTGAGCGAGACATACACTCAAAGCCCTGAAGATAAGACAATCTAATTGAGAGCTCGCATAATTTAATTATTTTGAGTTTACTTTCAAAATATGGATTAGAAAGCATTTTTTTAACTTATGCACTCAATATGACACAATGGAGAAAAATGATTCATGCTTGTATTTTTTGTTGTTGTAACTTAAGATAAACATAAGATTATTAAAGAAAGAAATTTGTACACTTTTCAAAATGAGAGTAATTTGAGTGAAATTTTCATTTGAACCCATGCAGCATTCTTAGACTATTTATATATAGACATTTTGTTAATTTGGTGGAGCATATGCGGGTTTTTAATTTCATTTATTTGATTATTTTAAATAACTTTGCATGTCTTGAGACAATTTATACGATTATAAATTGAATATAAAACGGCTTTAAAAGACATAAAAGATTTGATATTATATAAACTTGTCTTACTTGAATAAAAGTATTAATGTATGCAGGGTTTCACTTTAAGATTTTAAAATACCGTCTTATGTTTGCTTGCACAATATATTACGAATCCAGGGGCAAGATCTTATGGCGCTTGCACAAAGCTTAAGGTACTTATATCAAAATCAAATATTTTAAAACTCAATCAAGTCAAAAAATGAATCAAATATCTTTAAATTTTATGTGAATATTACGACTTCGGAATACACACAAGTTTCATTATGAGCATTAAAAAGAATCGTTTTCTATTAATTAGGTGTATTGAGAATTCGGTGGTGAAATTCATTAAAAAAAATTTGACACTTTATATGTTAATGATGTGCATGAAATCACACTTTAACCTTTTATGAAAGACCGTCTTTCATCTGCTTGCAAATCAGAGTTACAAATTCAATGACGAATTTTGCCTTTTAGTTCATTGATTGTATGTCCCCCTTATTTATGTCATTTAAAAATAATGTCCGAATAAATAATATAGTTCAAAATTTTAAATTTATCAGTTGCAAGTCCAAGATCACAAAAATTTCGAAAAACTCTCAACGTCGTTTCTGTTTATGGTGTTATATTGGGATGTCTAGCCTACCCAACTATCTATAAGACATGCTTGTCATTATTATTAAATATTGTGGTCATAAAAGATCTTCTAATCCCACCACTCTATAAGATGTGTATGGGCATTCAACTAACCTGCATGAAAGTAATGCAAGCACAACTTTCCCATCGAGTTGGAATAATTTGAACAAGTACTTTTAATGTTCCCTATATTTATACCTTTCCTTGTAAGGCGGCAAAAAGATCGACGAACCGATGAACTACCACACAATCTCTCCCACTATCTCTCTTAATATCTCTCTGATTTTTTAATATAATATATATATATATATATAAATAAAAATAAAAACAAGGTAGGTGCGGTGATATAGTAGGAATGGAGATATGGCTTGGTTTGAGTTCGAATAGCGAGGAAGCACTCATGGAAGTGGTCATGAAAGGTCATTGCAGGGACGATGTAGACATTGGAGATGGACTGAAAGGAGGGAAACATGAGAGTTTCGTAGGTCTTTGTAAGTCGTGATCCTGTTGTTGTTTTCCCTCCCTGCTCTGGTCGCAAGTGTATTGCGAAGGAGATGGAACGAGATGACTATCTGTGCGACATAGAGGTGTACGAATAGGAGGAACACGACTCAGTCAAAAGAAAAGGCTTGTTCACGACATTGCAAAGGTGTTGGAGGCACGATGGGACAGAGTTTCAATGAAGGGAAATTGGGAATTTTGAAGGTCTTAATACCCAGGGATCTCGTTTTGCTTTCCTTGCTAGCCCTAGTTGTGATTGTATCGCGATAAAACGAGAATGACGAGAAAGGGAGACAAGCCCTATGTGAGGTGAAGGAGTTTGGATCGGCCTGGAGCGTCGCTTGGCTTTTGTATGATACAAAAGGAGCGACATACAATGAGGGAGAAATGTGCAGCTTTCTATGGCCGAGAGGCAGAAATTGTCTTCCTTTAGTTATGGGAATGATAAAATAGAGTGGGAATATGTAACAAGATGCTGAAGCCGGAGCAATTATGGGTCTAAACTTAATTTAATATTTTTTAAGTAATCAACATTTAGCTATTTAAATAAATTATATCAAGTAAAAGAAATAATTAATAACCATACGGCTAGAAAATATGCATAATTAGCAAAGTTTGCATCAAAACATAAACAAGAAATTGAAAAATCCTCTATCAAAACTTGTGCTCTATGGTCTGTATCTTAACATGCACTTAAATCACCATCAATTATGCTTGAAGCCTAGGAACAAAAATTATGATTGTTTGACACTGAAATGATCTAACAATAAATTTTTAACATGATTTTTCCCAACTTCTAACACGCCATTACATCCTCGTTCAGAGATCTCTTAAACAAACATTCAACAAAAATAGAAATTATAATTTCAGCCCTATACATTAAAAAATAGGTCTATAGCTTGAAACCATTTGCAGCTCCAAAACTTTGGAAATTGGGAACCGATATAGTGAATATGACCAGGAAAGGAGGTAAAACAGTAAACTAGGTTAACATGGTCCTCCAGATAGCATTTGGTATTATTTTGTTGTATCGTTTGGTATGAAATTAAAACATTACTAATATAAAAAAGATGGACAATTTGCCATCCTGATGGAGAGTACAAGTATATGAAGCCTTAGAAATGGAGAACCAATATAGTGAGTATGAAAAATAGAGCTAAAGTAAGAAAGTAAACCAGATTAATAAGGTCCATCAGCTCTTATTTCATAGTACCAAGTTGTATTGTTTGATATGAAATAAAGGCACAGCTAATTTTAGAAAAATAAGCGAACCTCTCTACAAGTGTGGTTTCCAACATTGAGAATCCATAGAAGAGATTGGCATTCCTTAAAATGCTTCCTAACGCATATTTCTCACAAAAAGTCAAAATTGTGAAACAACAGATTCATAAAAATCAAGAAGATAAAAGCAATTTTCAAATGCAAGTTTTGCATAAGTCAGGCATACACAAAGCAATGTTGGCAAATAACAGAACTATTTCTACTGAATTATGCAATGCACAACTCTAGAATAGAGGAAAGCAAATGATTTTAATGATATAGCATCACCATCGATTTTATGTTATACTCAAATGTTTTAATCAAAACTTAATTGCATTTTAAGAAGGCAAAAAACTGCGAAGTAACAGAAACAAAAATATTTAAAATACAACTACAAATTTTTTTGAAATTTGGCAAAAAATGGCTTGCAAAGGTACAGCATAGTAATGAAAGAGAAATAGCATGAATTAAGTTCATTAACCCCAAATCAAATAACAGGTATATGAGTGATGGCAACGATAAGGCCACCAAGCTTGGCTTATCAAGAAAAACTAATGTAATAGAATTATCAAACAGTATCCCAGGCCGTATAACTCTCCGAAATGATAAAAAAGTTCATCTTTGGTTGGCTGTCGTTGTTGGGCATTTAAGCAAACATATCATATGCATGCAACATTAGCAGCAACAAAAGAAATTGAACCCAAAACCCAAAGCCATGTCCATAAAGCTTTCGAACATATCCGCACTCAAGCAACGTGATTACGAAAAAAAAAGGCTAACATGAAAAACAAACTAAAAGTTCCGACCGTGTTAACTAGCTAAAGTCAAAGGAAGCAGAGAAAAGAAACACTCAGAGGGTCTTGAGAATGTCATCCGCGCCGCTAACAGTGAAAGCGCCACCTTCCTCCAGGTTTAGTAGCTTGACCACCCCATCCTCCGCGAGCAAAGAATAGCGCCTAGACCTGACGCCAAGCCCCACGGGCTTATCCCTGAGATCAAGTTCGACGCCCAGAGCCCGAGTAAACTCCCCGTTGCCATCAGATAGCAGCAGCACCTCGTCACCAATCTTAAGTTTCTCCTTCCAAGCCTTCATCACAAAGGCGTCATTGACCGAGATGCAGGCGATGGTATCCACGCCTTTAGCCCGCAACTCCCCGGCCTTCTCGACAAAACCGGGGAGATGCTTCTGGGAGCAGGTTGGCGTAAAGGCTCCCGGAACGGCGAAAAAGACAGCTTTTTTACCCTTGGTGAGATCGGAGATGGAGACAGTCTGAACTTCGTCTGCAGAGTTCAGGTAAGACAAGGTAGCATCCGGAAGCTTGTCGCCAACTGAAATGGAAACTGTTGCGACCGAAGGGGAGGCGGATGCGATGAAGCGAAGGTTCCGGCAAGACCGGAGGGGTTTGGAAGGGAAAACAAGGCGGCCTGGAAGGGTTGCGGATTGAAAGCGAGCTGCCGGGGATAATGAAGGAGATTGGAAGCGAAGGAGCTTTGCTGCAGTGAGGGAAGCCGTGGTTGCCGCCATTGCCGCCATTTGAACAGATTATTAGGTTGAGGGGGGGAATGTGGAGTATTACTTCGTTGAAATGGGAAGGGAACGAAAGGGATTTGAGGGCGGATAAGGGAGAGGTTTGGGTGGACGGAGGAAGCAAGGAAGGATAAAAGCCAAAAGCCGGAGCTTTTGTTATCTGGTGCTAATTTTGACTTGTAAGATCTGGCAATTTTTTAGGAAGATTAAAAAATAATGGAAAATTCTGAATTAAAATGCAACTCTAATTAATGAATTGGCCTAATTTTTAATTATTTATTTTATTAGGACAATGCGAATTAGGGGTGTAAACGAACCGAACACGAACGAACATAGCTTGTGTTCGTTCGTTTGAAGTTTAATTTGTTTGAAATAAGCTTGTGTTTGAATTTATTCGTGAAGTCACTGTTGAGGCAATGTTGGTGTTCGTTTCTTAACGAATGAGCCGAACACGAGTTGTTCTCGAACGATGAACCAATTTGACATCGCTAATATTAATATATATAAATAATACATTATATTAATTATATAACTTATATTATATAAATATATAATATACTATATTAGTATATTAATATTATTAATTTATTATATATTATAATTTATACAATTTAATTTTTTAAAATATCATAAATTTTTTATATATAATTATTTTAAATTAGTTTATATTTCGAACAATAATGATTTGAATATGAACGAAAGCATCACTGTTTGTGTTTGGTTCGTTTAACTAACCGAACGAAAAAAAAATTGTTCACCTTTGTCTCGTTTACTTATCGAACGAAATCAAACACAAACTCATTGACGAACAAAACATGAACTGTTCACGAACAATGAGCTTTTTTGACAGCCCTAATGCGAATGTATGATTCTGATAAATATAATTAAGCTTTAAACCCAAAATTTATAGGCTTATAAGCCAATTCACTCATAAAATTGAGTTCGAGTTTGAACTCAACATCAACTAATCATTCAAATTTAAGTTCATATTGAGAATAACTTAAAATTGGCTCAGTTTTTTTACGCTCCAGATCTAACAAATCAAGTCATACACAATTTAATTTCATTTTTACCTAAATAATTCAAGTCATATATTTTTTTAACTTGCTTCTACTTACAAATTTAATTTTTTTTTAAAATTAAAAAAACTATAATCTTTTAATTAAAACGAGCATGAAATATGCATTTTAGTTAAAAGTTTGTTTTTTTTATAAAATAAAACGCACCAACAAGTACGTTTTTTATCACATTTAAGCTTTTTTTTTTTCCTGAGATGTTTCCAAGGCAAAAAATGTTATATATATATATAAAGAGAGAGAGATAGAGGGATATTTACATTCATACTACATATTTCTTATGGATTTACATACTAACATACATACTATCACATTTAAATGCACAAAAATCAAATCTTTAATATCATATAAAAAATGCTACTATTATTTACTTCAAAAAAAAAAAAATAATAATAAACCTCTTTATGCATAGGTTAATAACACTAAAGTGCTAAAAATGTAAAATTTTTTGTGCTAGATATATAAATACATAAGAATTGTGTGATATGCATGCAATTTGCCGTATCGAGCTGGTGTGATGTTATAAGCACAAATAAATACTTACAAAAGCATCTAGTTGAGCAGAAAAAAAACACTACCTATTTAAATTTGTTGGCAGAGATAACACATTTTACATTATGAAATAACCAGATGATGTGATGTTATTCCAAATGATGAGGGGTTTGAACACTTCACAATTGAACATCAATGTTATAAAGGTCTCTTTGTTTATCAACACCGCATCCAAAAAACCATCTTTATTCCTCACCAAACCAACCAAGCCAAACTTTAGCAACCACCAGAAAGCTCCCAAGGCCCATCAACCCCAAACATACCCCACAATCACATCCTATCCCTTTAGTGTCATCAATGCAATTATCCATCCACCTCTTTAATATAAAGAATATTTAAATTTTGAAATGTCAAAAATGTTTGAATGGAGTTGAAATACAAATTAATTTCACAATATGAACCACAAAAGGCTCTTGGAAAAATGAATGAAATTGAGAGAATTTTGAGATGCCTTTGAGGAATTTAAAATCAAATTTGTGTTCAACCTACACTCAATCAAACAAAATATCATTTTGAAAAAATAAAACCAAATCCAATCGTCTAATGCGCCAAGCCAGACCAAAACCATAGAAAACCTTGAAAAGACAAGCATTTTCAGTCATCAAATCTCAAAGTAAATGCTTCATCCCCAGAAAATTGGATTCGTCGCAAAGCTAATCACATCCGGATCCATAAACCAAAGCTCGAGGAAAAGAAAAATGAGAATTTCTTACTTCATTGCTTATTTAGCTGCATTGCCATGCTTGGATTTCCTGCGTGATTGAAGAGCATTCTCAGACTTGAAATTCATCAGCTATTAAATTTCCAATTCCTTTGGAATACCGAACAATATGAAGGACAATAGAAGCATACCTGTTGCAGGTCCTGCAAGCTAGAGATCGATCAAACTTTGAAGACGGTTGAGGTTTTCCACCTTGCTTAGCAGGGTAGGGAGTTGCCACATGAACGTATGCTTTCTTTCCATCACCACCTGCATGAAGGTTTAATCTATTAAGAACCCCAGAGAAATCTCATATCACAGAAGATCAATTTCAGATGGATATTTTTGAAAAAAACCTGCTTTAAGGTTTTCAACTGGAGTCACAAGTTTAGTCTTTTTTCCAGGAATAGGTGTTTTTGAAGCAGAATCAGCTTTCCTTTTCTTTTCAACCTAAAGAAATATTAGACAATAACTAAAAATTTTATTCCCCTAATTATTCTAAAATAGTTGATGCAACAATACCTTCTCTTGGGGAGTCTCTTCCTCAGAGCTATCATCCTCATCTTCTTCTGAACCATCTCCTGATGATTCAATGATTTGCTGTAAAAGCAATATCTTATCGCGGGGAGTCTCTTTTTCAGAGCTATCATCCTCATCTTCTTCTGAACCATCTCCTGATGATTCAACCTCAGAGCTATCATCCTCATCTTCTTCTGAACCATCTCCATCTCCTGATGATTTAATGATTTGCTGTAAAAACAAAATTGTTATTTTAGAACTAATAAACCTTCTTCTGAACCATCTCCTGATGATTCAATGATCTGCTGTAAAAACAAAATTGTTATTTTAGAACTAATAAACCACCCATGACAATTCATATATCCTCAACTGAAATAGTGGCTAGTAACAAGAATTATAAAATGATTAAAAAGTAACGTTTTAATTAAATATAAGATGAAAATATATAACCAAAATGACCACCAGAACTGAAAAAGAACGCGAGTACGAGATAACAGCATTTGGTAGTTGCATAAGCACAGAAGCGACAGCAGACCTCATCTTTATCTGAATCTTCTTCAGAATCATTGTTGTCATCATCCTCATCCTCATAATCCTCATCGTCGTCCTCTTTGCTATCATTCTCACTGTCTTTATCCTCTACCTTTTTATCAGCTTTGACCAGCTCTTTCTTTGGTTTCTCTAAGTTAGCCTTCCGTTTAGCAGCCACATTATCATCCTTACTTGCACTAGCCTTTTCAGCGATCAATTTGCCAAATTTGTTCTTATAAGCTATACCTTAAAATCAAAAAAGAAGGTGAATAAGTTTGAATACCGTAAACGAAAATATCACCAAATTTAGTCACCGGACATAAAAGAAAGCAATTTTAGGGTATAAAAATATGAACTTAAACACTCAAGAAAACAAACTTTTAATAAAACCTTCTTCCAGTCAGAAGGATAGAAAATTAAAGAACATAAGCTACATGTTGAAACTGTAACCTCCAAAACTTACAATCACTAGACAAACCCAAATGTGAAGCCACCACCAAATCAGTGAATATTAATTAAATAAAATTTAAAAAAAAAACACGAAGGCTAAATGCATCAAACTTGAACACAATCAACCACATTGTTATGGTATGACTCATATACTATACAAGGGACAGATGCTGGAACGAAGCAGAGCGGAGTGGAGCGGAGCGGAAAAATCTGTCCAATCGAGGGAGTTTTGTTATGTGGGTTGGGGGTGCGGGCAATGTCGTATCAAACTGAAGGAAGAAGCAAAGGAAGCCTTGAAAACCAAATTCCCGAGAGAGACTTACTTGAAAAATGAGAGATTGCAGCTACTTATTATTCTTCCCCCTAATTTCTCAACACACATTTATTTATATTAAAAAAAAACTTAATTTTTGTTTAATAAGTAACTCGTTAAAAACATAATATTAGGGTCCGTTTGGGGCAGCTTATTGGGTTGTGGCGGAATTTTAAAAATGTCATCACCTTGTTTGGTAATCACGTTCTGTTGACTTGTTCCTGCCGCACTGCGTCCGCGTCCGATAAATCCTTATATTGGTTCGACGCAGGCAGAGCCCTGCGTCCGGCGTTACCGTCCCGCGTTGCCCTAGGAATTCAGGAGGTACCCCTAATCTCTCTCGCCTTCTCTCTCGCTGGATTCCTTTCTGGTTCGTCACCCTAGAGGAGATCGAATCTTCTTTTTTTTTCCAATTTTCTTTCCTGATCATCAGGTATCCTTTCAATTTCCCTAGATGCGATCCTTGGAAAGCTTCTTTTTCTCTGATGGTTTTTCTGGGAAGTGTAGATGCAAGCAATGAAAATTTTTTTTTCTCCTATGATATATGAGTACATTACGGGTTTTTAGGTATAGCCCAGTTGAGATCTGTGACATGAGTTGTTTTCTGCATCTTCATTTTCTCTGGTCTTTGGGTATAGCTCAGTTAAGATATGTTACATTTTCTCTGGTCCGATGTTGTTGCATCTTCATTCTTGCGAAGATGTTTTCATCTTTCATATGAGAATTATGAAACTTGAGATCTGTTTCATCTCATATTTGCATAGGTTTTTGGGTAAATTTGTCATTGTATGAAACTTATGAAATTATCACTTGAGGGCAAGTCTAGCCTATGACAGCAAAAATGATTTGGCTACAAAAAAATTTATCAAGGCAATTTCCCATAGTTTTATACTTGTTGGAATATATGTTATTTGGGTTTTCACCACTGATATGGATGAGGCTTTGTTTGTGTGATGGGAGGTATTGACTCCGATTTTAAGCAAATTGGTGAAGGTATTACTGTTTACCTGCAATTTCTGTGATGGAGAATTTGCAGGAATTTTTGTGATGCAAACTGCAAAAATTTCTATACTCTAGCTGCAGTTTGAGAACTGTATGTCATCTTTTGGAACTGATTTGTGATGATTTTATGCTTTTGCATTCTCTGCTTCTGTAATACCAATAAGTTATTCTGAATAAGTTGCACCAAAGAGTTTTAATAAAAAAGGGTAGGAATGTCATTTATACAGCCATAACTACCAATAAGCTATTTTGAATAATCTGACTCAAACAACAATCCAGCTTATTCTGGAGATTATCAGATTATCAGAATAATCTACTTATCAGCAGATTATAAATAATCAACAGCTGCACCAAACATACCCTTAAGCTCAATAATAGATTTTATATCAATTAACTAAATTTTAGTCAAAGATAACTTGTTTAACTATTTATTTAATATATATGTATTATAAATTTATTTATTAATTTGCATATTCTCCCCTTCCACCCTTACTCAAAATCATAAAACTTTGAAAGCCACAAAAACAATAAAAATATGAGAAATCACGATAGGAGGTCATTGGGAGAAGGAATTGACAACACCAAAAATATATGAAGGAAAAGAGGAATTTGTGAAAGAAGTGGCATTGTATAATAAGTAAAAAACCTTAAACACCATAAATTTGAATACTCTCAAAACCACAACACATACTGTAATATTTACTCTAAATTATTTTTTAATATGATTTAGCCTAAAGCTTGACTAAATCACAATTAATAATTGCAAAAAATTCTGTCGAAATATAATTTTAATCGTGTATAATAATCTATATTGTCCCTACGAACTCTCCTATGTCTCTACCCCAGAATTACGAACTAAGAAAATTTTTATCAGATTATGAGATCGTACGAAAATTTAATGCAATCTATTTATCATTCATTTATTTCAGCGAACAAATTTATTGGTACTTATTTATGTTTTATAATTAAAAAAAAAACATATTTGGGACTTATTTAATATTTTGTTGAATTAGTATCAAGAACTAGGTTTAAAATTCTAGATTTATCAAATCTCTTGTTCATTTATACTTATGAAATTACTCATGAATATGGGAAGCCAAGTTTAATTCAAAATATTTTGTTATATGCTCTAAAGTATGCTTCATAAGCCTATGCAACAGGAAAAAGAAGTGGCAACTTAAATAACATAAGAGTATGTCTAAATAATAACACCAATCAACATCAACCTTATCAGTTATTTATCATCATTAGCCTTATGCCTGAAAAAACAATATGCAAAAGCAAGAACTAGGATTGCAAATCAATAAGCGACCAAAAAATATAATCAAGTTAAAACAAAAATGTGTTAAAAAAACAAATATTCACATCTTAATGATCATTTAGTTATGTAAGCATATCTATTTAAATGTTCATTTCTCATAAAAAATTTTAAACCTTTGAGTCGAGTTACTCTAGCTTACGCATATATAATACAAGTGAATTACAGGCTCTGAAAATTGCCGTTGCACTTGCAGTGCGAACAATTCTTTTCAGTATTTTGAGTTTCAGGAAAAGATTTAAAACAAATATTAAGATCTTTATGACAATTTAATTATATAAGCATATCTAGATAGATACTCGTTTCCCATAAAAAGTTCAAATCTCTAAGCTAATCTAGCTTATATGACTCATATAATACATGATAATTATGGCCTCTAAAAATTACGTATGCGCTTGCAGTGTGAAACTATTCTTTTAGCTCTTTAAGAATTTTAGGAAATGAGACAATGTAGCATTAAATTTCAAAGTTAAATAAAAAACATACCCTAAAGAATTCTAATAGCATAGTAGCTGCAGTCTACTGAGGTTTATTAGAGACATGAAAAATACAGGTTTCCCATCGGCACACCTTATAATCACTAATGTATTGAATATGATAACAAGAATATTCTCAATAATGGATTCGAGGCACATTTCTCGAGAAGTGCCTTGAATTGAAGCAGTCTAAAAATACCTCGACGCTTATGTCTCATTGGCGCCTATAAGGATGTTTTTTCATCTGAATCGTACGTTCCAATACGGTTGAGACGGCCCCTCAATCAATATATTTTAACAAAATTATTATATTATAATACAATATAATATAACATATAAGAATAACCTAAATCATAAATATTAATAATGAATCATTAGGCCTTCAATAACAGTACACTCTTCTCGTCCCATGCCGATCTTGCATAAAAGAAACAGGAAAAACTACAACCTTCATTTTGATCATACCAGAGCAGGAGCCAAAGCAATAGAGGAAAGGGATCACATTAATCCGTGCCTACAAATCTTTCATCTCGACCTTGATAAAGCAGGAAAGTCACATTCATCACAACCACGAAAAAGCATGAGACAATGCAGGCTTTCGTCATGGCTCCAAGAGCAAAATTTTACAGTGCCAATTGATCGTGTGTGAACGGGAGGGTTGATTTATTGACACTAAAGATGTAAGAACACTTAACATAAATCAAACTTTTGTTTTATTAACATGGTATTTTGATTGTTCTAAAGTAGATATTTTCATGAATCACTTCAATAGACATTCAAATTAGTAAAGTCCTTGATTCAGCAGTTTGGTTCATTTCGTTTAATTGTTTCATGTTATTTATCTGTATGTTGAAGCAAATTATCTAAATTATTCATAAATCAAATAAATTCTTTGATTTAGTTTATCTTTAATTCTTTTTAAATTTAGCACAAACCTTAGATTTGGTGCTTTTACCAAGAAAGACCTCGCACTAGATTAATCGTGTGATTATTTATAATTTCATATTAGTAGAGAATATCAAATTTCAGATTTTATTGAATTTGGAGCTGCTTATAAAGAAATAAGGAAATAAAATATATTATTGATGACAAATGGGATCACCAAATGAAATAGTAGATAGGACACTACTTAGAGATTTCGCCCACATTTTGTGAGAACTTTAAGATATAGGGCTCGAGGTTTCTCATAGACGCAAACCTCTATAGTTAATTACCCCTCTCGATGACAGGAGAACACTTCGATTAAGGCTAGTCATTAAGCACTAAGTATTCGGACTTAGCATATAGTAGCAACAAATTTGAGAATTTAATTTATAAAAATCATCATCGTGAGCTCAAAGCGGATGGTGAGGGAAATGATGACGAACCCGGCCAAGATCCCATGGTCTCATTAGCCCAAGTTGTCATGGTTTTGGGTCTACTTAGTTAGCGGAAGTAGTCGACCCAACGTGACCAAAGAATCCTTGTCAGTAGCCATGGGTTGCTTCGTCCAAGGGGATATTGTAAACCTGAGGTGAATGTTTGTCTAAGGGGACTAATCTAAGTCGACCTTAGCTTACAAAGGGTTTTTTGCCCCCATCAAATATAACTCATGATTCAACACTCAAAAGGGCAGACTGTCATTAAGGAACATACGGGTTATAACCGTGACCCTAATATAATGGTGTCATTTGGCAGCAGTCCACTCGATCAGAGAGATCTAGTTATAACCGCTTCTTTGTGGTGCTATTCGGCAGCAAGAACCACATGGATAGAGTACTCGGGCAATGTCCTTACAGGCATAAAATTCATTTTGAGTATGAATTTAGTAATATACTTGATATGACATTGGTTTTTTTGTGAGCTCAAGTCAGCCTTAGATTTGTCCACTTCAACAAACAGTTGCGGTGGGTTAATGGATTTTTGCTTTAAGCATTGGGTGGTAAATTTTATTTGATTATTTTATAAATTTTATGATTTAATACTTTGAGTTTTATAGATAGACCCTCCGGTTGAGATTCACCATCAACACGACCATCAACGGGGTATAATTATAACTTACACCACTAAAAGCACCAGTCATGTCAACTCCTGTCCTTGTAAGGGGGAGTATCAGACTGACTCAGCATATACTCAATCTTGTCAGCTCCGACCCATGTAAGGAGGATCGGACTGGCCAAAGTGGAGGCTCAATCTTGTCAACTTTGGTCCATGTAGGGAGGAGGATCGGATTGGCCAAAGTGTGGGAGTTACGACCTCGCCCTATATGCAAGGCAGTTCAGTGCCCGCAAATATGTCAGACCACCAACATGCTAATAAAAATGTGTATAGTGTAATGGACGGGGTACCCAAGACCCCAATTTTATTGCACATCTTATAAAGATGTGCATAGCACTGAGTTTATGCATGGATTCTCACCATGCCAAGAATGAAGTATCACACTAACATACCTGCAAGGGCACACAATTTATATCATAGGGTTCAAAAAAAAATATTTTCCCTTATATCACAAAGATAAAAACGTGTAAAGAGCCTTCAAACATAGGATGGAGAACTCAATGAGAATTCTGCGTACAGTTTATAAAACATAATGAGGAAGTTATGCCATATTTATTGTTTCAAAATTTCATGCAATTTGATGAGAAACGAGTAAATTACGCCATGATTAATAAAAAGTGTCATTATATTTTCAAAAATGTAGAAACTGGTCGGGATTTTTTCTTTTCTTTTCTTGTTTTAATTTTTCAATTTATTTTAAATACTTAATTTTTAATGGATTTTTTACATATTAAATTATTATTTTTAAAGGCCCTTAGATTTAGGATTTTTGAACTTCTTACTTTATCAAAAACGTAAATCACAATTAATCAAAATTGACTAAAGCTATAAATAAGAAAGTAATTCGAGGATTTAGTCAAGAATCTACCCTCAAAATCTAGTGTGATTCTAACAAAATATGAAGGTTATTCCAAACTTAGTGACAATGGGAGAGAAAAATTGCTAAAATATAGAGTTAGTTTCATTTCAAAAATTTCTCGTTTGCTCAGAAATGGTCTAAGAACAAAAATTACGGAGGATCAAATTCCAACGAGTAAAAGATCAAATGAACCAGACAAGAAATGATAAAAGTGCACTAAAATCAATAAGAAGAAGCTAAAACTACCGAAATTCAATTTTCATTTTTCCACTTTATGTAGATAATGCTCATCAGGTATGTTGAACTAAAATTATAAACATGAAATTCATAAAAATATGAGTTGAGAATTTGCCCTTCCATTTTTGATTGAATCTAGTTATGCCCAAACCAATGATAAGAGGTCAAGCAAAACTAAACCTAAAATTAAGTCTAATGATTTGAAATCACTTGATCAGAGTCTAAATTTGATGGAGTTTGGCCCCTTCTCCAAAATTCCAACTTTCGGGATGCATCAAAATTGTTTGGCTGAAGAAATGAGTTTTTGGCTTGCATGAAACTTCTCAAGCCAAGCTTCACATAAACTGGCATATGTTTCTCTATTTTCTTTTCTTTCCTATTTTTTTTTTTCGACTTCTTAGGGGCTCCATAAATACTCGTTTCAAATACGTCAATGAAAAGGCATTTTCCTGCCCAATGACATTTTAAATAAATTCCATGTAACATCTACTGTCGTTTTCTTTATTGATTACATTCCATTAAACCTCTTACGTGACTATGCAGATGCTCATTCTCACCAATCTTAGATTCAGCGCCATAAGCAATCCAGTCAATCGAGTGGGCTAAGATAGAACCAACTCTACGTGGAACCCATCAACAAGTCAATCAAGCAATCCTAGCCAAGCAACTTGAGAAGAAATAGACATAAAACAGATAGTAGATTATTTTTGCCTTTAGTTGAATCTTCTTCACATCTCAACAGATTATTTTTGCCTTTAGTTGAATCTTCTTCAGATCTCAACAGATAATTTATTAGGCAAATGATTTTTTTCACTTTTCAGAATATGATTAACCGAAATGTTGACTAATTGATCACAATTTATTGGATCGAATTTTGCAGCTTCTTCTTCTACAAGACCTCGGTGTGACATGAAGTTTAAGGATCAATTTTTTTTAAAGGTTAAAAGTGAATCACTTATTTTCATTTATGACCCCATATATAGCATAGGACGAGTGTGCCACACAACCATAGAATAACCGGAAATACCATAAAAAATATGGAAATACATACCATTTGCTCCTTCATCAATGTAAAGATCATCATCAGAGCTAGAATCTGGATGGAAAAGAAAGAGTTCAAAACACAGAAAAAGCATAATCTCTTGAAGTATTGAATGATTCAACATAAAAAAGGATGATAAACAAAGTCAGTAACTTGCCATCAAAACTATCCTTGGATGTGATGTCAATGAAAATTAAGTTAAGATAGCAATTTTAGGACAATCTTGACACAGATTAAAAAAAATAATGTTTGTCTATAATGGAAATAGAAAGGGTATTCACCAATCTCATTAACTCTCTTATAACCAACAAAGAACACGCTAGAATTCTTGGAGCCATGTGACAACTCAAATTCCTTCTCAAAGATAAGATCATACTGAATCTGAGCACATTTATCTGCGGAAAGGTTTCCAATGACTAGCTTCTGATCATTAAACTTGACAAAGATTGGAACATATTCAGATCCTTTTTCCTTCTTAATTTCACCAAGCGAAGCCTGCGTGATAAGAAACAATGATAAATGATAAAATAAGTAAGAGTACTATAGCATCTCTCCATAAAAATTTCAAAATTTATAGAAACCTGTGAAAGATGCACAATGCTTTCATCCCCTGCTTCACATTTGACTGTCTGTCCAGGTTTAACTTCAATACCTGAAACCCCATCCATCTTCAAAGATAAGCTAAGTTTTATTACAAATCAAGTCTTCCCTAAAAATATAAATGAATAATGGACAATATTTCATCTTCACAGAAAAAACATACATTGTCCTCAACACATTAAAAAGCTGTCAGGATGCTTCAGCATAAATATCAAACATGAGCATCCTTTGGTAAAACTAACAGCTCATTAAGAGTAAGAAAATAGCTTTGTAAATTAGGATATACAAAATTCAACTGCCAGAGAACATTAACTTGAAGATCTTAAAAGACGAGTAACAAACTTATAAGGACATAACTTTAAGAAAAAAAAGGCATGAAAGAAATAATGACAGAAAGACAAGAAGGTTCAAGATAATAGGGACGCAAGTTTACTGAAAAAAAAAATAGTGTCTGTATTTCATTGCCAATGAATAACTCTATGACGTACTATAGCAATCAAATGATGCAACGAGACATTCAGTCTGATGTAGAACAGAAATGCAAGTTTGAAGGCATCATATCTAAGGAGAAAAGGGGTCTAATAATTGTCATTATTCTATGAGCTCACAACATGTTTGTGTTCGGCTTGTCGAAGAGTTCGTGTTCGATTCGTTTGATAAGCAAACGAGACGAACACGAACAATTTTTTTCGTTCGGTTTATAAACGAACCAAACACGAACAGTCATTTTTTCAATCGTATTCGAATCGTTATTTTTTGAAATATAAAATAACTATATATAAAAAATTAATCATATTTTAAAAATAATTATATACTCTAAAAATTTATCATATTTTAAAAAAATTAAATCCTACAAATTATAATCTGATATTCAGGGGTTCGCCTCTTAGCTAATATTAAATTCTATAATTTCGTGTTTATCTTCAGCTTTGTCTCTTAAATTAAATTTTATTATATTTTTTTTAGTTTTATTTAGTTTTCTTTGAGTGAAACCTAGTTTTCGGGAGTGAAATATTGTATATTGCCTCTAGATTTGAATTGTTTATGAATGAAATATGATATTATGGTTTAATTGTGAGCAGTGCTTCAGCTATTTTGCATTTGTATTGTGATTCATACAGGTTTAAGCATTAATTTCTTATAGGTTCAAGTTTTTGAAAATTTTCGAACAATACAAACAAATTTGTAAGATTTCGAACAATTCAAATAATTCGAATAATTTGAACAATTCAAACAATTTGAATATTTCAAACATTTCAAACAAATCAAACCAAACATGAACAGTAAATTTACAAACAATTTCAAACACGAGTCTATTTCAAACGAATCAAACACAAACACGAGATTTGTTCGTTCGTGTTTGGTTCGTTTACACCCCTAGTTGTGATCATCACTTTTGGAATGACTTCCCCAAGCCCAATGATTTTGACCAAGGGGGCTTACTCTCTCACCTTTTTGATTGATGTTGCCTTATGAAACAATAAATGGATGGCTTGATTCAAAAAGGGTCCACAAATCGTGCAATTTATAATTTCAAAGTTAAAGAGGATATTGCAAGCCCAATGAAGGAATTTATTGAATAATTTTATTCTTATAATCACTAAATAATGACTAAAAATATGTGAGCATTGCAATAAAAAAAAGATTGGGTTGTAGCATGTAGATTGTAGAATGCCTTGGTTTTTTTGTACCCTTCTCCTCTAGAGGATTTGGTAAGTTTCTCATAAAAAAATATTTATCTTTTACTTCAATCATGAATGAAGCATGCAATTTTCTTTCCATTGTTGAATTTCTTTTTTCCTCGGTTCATAATGTGCTATCTCCACTCTCCACCAATACATTTCCTACATATCTAGGATTGCCACCCACTCTTTGTTCCACCATAGCCAAGATCCACTCATAACTTGCCCACCCTTCCACCACTAACTTAAATTCTTTTGTCATTTTAGTATCAGAGCTAAATAAGATACATCTAACTTTATTTGAGAAAAACATAGTGGCATCCTATGATTGGAGATTTAATAGCCATTGTAAGTAAATTTTGGGAGTGATTTCAGCCCCTAACACTTGCAACATTTTTTGCCATATTTTTTACGAAGGTCAATCGTATGTGCCATCAATATAGAATTCATTTGACATGAACATACATGCAATCGAAGATTGCAAGCACAATCTTCCTGAGATCTAGCTAGCATTTTTACTGAGAGATGTTGAAGGCTGACCTCAGCATCTTACTTCGCCACTAAATACCCCTTTTATGCCAATTTCAAGAAATAAAAATGAAGGCTTACCAAATCATGGAAATGTAATTTCTCACCCACTTCATCCACCAATCTCCAATTAAAAATAATAATGATAATATCATCTTCATCATCACATCAATATTATTATTATTATTAATCCTTCAGTCACGCACCAAAGTTAATATAAACCTATCAAAATCAGCATCATCAATTGATAAGCAGTAGATTTCTGTAACAAACTGCATCACAAAAATAATAGGAAAGTGGAAGCATTGGAAAAAGAATTGCAAGACAGAGCATTGACCGAAAGAGGACAAAGGACGACTAGCATCAAAATGATTAATCCAACTTAAAGAATAGCACCGTAAGGAACAAAGACACCTCCAATTTTACGCCAAAAAAAAAAACAGAAAAAAAAATATAGTTTCCCCTGCATTGGTTAAGAAACTAGGCCGACAAGTAACAGCAGTATAGAAGTATGTGAAAGAAAGAAACCCTACCCACGTTCAGATCAAAGAATAATGCAAAGAAATAGAAGAAACGAAAACAATGTCGGAAGAAGCCATCAAAGATTTACCCCAGAACTCCATCAAGATACAGATGATAGAAGAGAGAGACGAAGGCTGAGGTGGAAAGCGAATCAATGGCGGAGATTGCCGGTGACTCCAGGAGGCGACCAACCGGAAAAGAAAGAGAAATCACCGTAATCAACGAAATGGCGGTACGTGAAGTCGTTTGTTAGGGTTTTGAATTTAAATGGCCGTTTGATGATAGATCATCAAGATCGCCGTCCGTTGCGGACTATCGCAGCTTTTTTTTATTTCTTTTTTTTTAGGGATTTTTACATACACAGCACTCAAAACATACCATTTTACATATTTCACAACTAAACATCAATATTTATGGAATTAGCACTTCCGTTAACAGGGTTAAACCATCTCGCCGGAGCTCGCCGAAAGGGAAAACAAAAACCTTCAAAACTCATATTTTTCTCCTCCGGTCGGTGGGACCCGCTCTCCCGCCGCCCAAACCCGAGAGATCTCTTTTCATTGAATCGCGGCAGCCACCACCACTCGCCGTGCCGAAAACATGGAGGCAAGTTGCTGCAAACTCTGATAATGGCGGCGGAGAAGGCGATGGCTGATTTCGGCGGCAACTATTTCGAAATGGAAGGTACAAACATATGCTATCGAGTTCAAGGCTCGTCATTTTGTGTTGGAACCGCCGCGCTTCTCGGTGATGTTGAATATGTCGAGAAGATAGAAGAGGATAGAAGAGAATGCCTCCCCCTGCATTCCCCACAGCAGCAAGTCTGCTGTTTCCCCTACGTCGATGAGATACACTACAACCGGCACTCCGTCTCCGTCAACCTTGTCGGACTTTCCGCGCGAAGAGTCGACGGCGAAAGAAACAGAAGAGACGGAGTGTGTTTTCTGTGCTTATATATGATTTTAATGTGCTTATTTTATAAATATGAAAGTTTAAGTGTGAAATTGCTAAAATGATTTGTTTAGAGTGTTGGGACCGAACCTGCCTAAAAAAAAGAAAAAGAGTTGACGTCCGGTCGCGTCGGAGACATCTTTATCTTAGGAGGAGTCCGGCTCCTCAGAAATTCTTTGAGAATAGGCCGGCTCATCCTCGGAATTCGAAAAGAAAACATTTACAGAATTTCTATTACATAGAGAATAAGACTGAGTAGCTTACTCTCAATCTAGAGTGGAGCTGTTTGTAGAGTCCAATCTCAAGCTGACATATGGAAATCAGGGCGCATCTACATAAAAAATGAAAAAAACATTAAAAACGTGCAACCCGACCCGACTGATGCGTTATAGGAATATTTCATTGCATAGAAATATTCCCTCACATTATTCTGAATTTTTTTTCTTATTATTCATATGTTATTGATGTGTTATTAAAATGATTCAATCAAATGACAAGATAAAAATTTTTACTGATGTGTTATTAATGTGTTATGAAAGTGATTTTGAATAACATCTCAAAATCACTTCAGTCACTCTTTTTAATGTGTTATTGGTGTATTATTCATGTTTTATTGGTGTGTTATTTAGGTGATACAATCCAGTGACAAGATGAAAATTTCTACTAATTTGATATTTATGTATAATGTGTTATTCATGTTTATGGAGGTGATTTTGAGTTGATATTGTTGTTTCAAGAATAATAACATCTCAAAATCACCGCGGTCAATGTTTTTAATTTGTTATTCATGTGTTATTGATGTGTTATTGAGGTGATACAATCCAATGACAAGATGAAAACTTATATTGATGTGATATTCATGTGTTATGGAGTTGATTGAGTTAGTATTATTGTTTAAAGAACAATAACATCTTGAAATCGCATCAATAACACATCCATAACACTTGAATAACGCAAAAAATATTCAGAATAACGCTAAGGAATATTTCTACAACACAGTCGGGTCAGGTCTCACGTTTTTCATCTTTTTTTTATTTAGATGGCCCCAGTCTTCCACGTGTCAGCTCGAGATTGGACTCCGCAAGTAGATTTGCATTCGGAGCCCTGATGTAATAGTTTTTTTTAATATTGTCAGGAAGATTATAAATTAGGGTCTTGTTTTCTAATGAATATTTTAATATTTAGAAAATGTGTCCTAAATCATCACTTATATTTAAAAAGAGCTTAGAGTTTGAATGAATTACAGTAGTCTACTGAGAGTTGAATGAATTACAGTACTTTATCGAGATCTCGAAGCCAATGCTGTTGCTAGTAACCAATATATGTTATGAAAAATATTAAATTTTAATGTTTGTAAATTAGGAAACGTTTATATTATGAAGTTTAATATCAGTTAACATAATTTCGGGAGATCTTATTATATGATTTTTTTGTATTATGAAGTCTAATTTGTGAATATCTAAATATATGATTTAGATATTCAATTTAAAATATTATTGATTTATTAGAAGAATTCTCTTTTATTTATACGAAGGACTATTGAGGATTTGAGTCTATTGAGTTCTAACCCTAATTAGGTCGATCTTTTCTGCAATGTGTTTGTTTGTTTGTTTCTTTGTTGTGTGAATTTATTTTCCACCTTATTTTGAACAACAATTGGTATTAGAGCCAGATCGGTGATTCCAGCGTTCAATTCCGTTGAAGTCGTGGACGCAAGACAAAGAAATTAAAGAAAGTTGGGCTATAAGATCTAGTAGAGCCATAGATAATAGCTTGTCGTTCGGTATTTCAACATCCACTACGATGGTGGAAAATGCATTGATTCATCAGGTGGTTATACATTCTGATAAGATTGATGTGACAAAATTTGATAGTAAATGAAATTTTGGCATGAGACGATGTGAGGTGATGAATGTATTGTGCTTTTTGAATGTAGAAGAAGTTTTTAGTAGCGATGAACGCCCTGAAGAGATGTAAGAAAGATATTGATTAAAGATAAACTAAAATTCTTGTGGCTTGATATAAATTTGTTTATCTTGGAAGATCAAATATCAAATATGGGGTGATTATAGAGACATTTGCAGGAAAACTTTAGAGAATGTTGGAGAACAAACATTTCGCAAAGAATGTGAAAAACTATCTCCATATGAAGTGTCGACTCTACATATCTTATATCAGACGTGTGGTTATTATTGATGAGCACTTAAATAACTACACAAAATTATTGGCAGATTTGTTAAATCGAGATGAAGACGTTGGAGATGAAGACAATGTACCTCTTATGTTGAATTCGTTCCATGATGAGTATGAAAAATTTACGATGACACTCATTTGAGAATTATGACATGATGACTACGATGTAGTTGAATCACGAGCTCCTTCGAGGAACAAGGAATCCAAAAAGAAAGAGTCGGTAAAGACACTTGTACTCTAACCCGACAAACATGAGAATAAGAAGAATTGGGCAAAGAAAGAGGACAATAGTGATACTTCTCAATAGTGTACTCTAGCGTACTGTCGAAAATAATCAGTGTGCTTTCTGTTTGGAGCTTAATCATTAGAAGAAAGATTATTTGAACCTGAAAGAGAAGGAAAATGAAGTTTTTGCTGTGACGAAAGTCAATCTTATTGTAGAGAGATGTGACAAGACATTTTAGATGTATCGTTATTTTTCAGTTTCTTACAATTTATATACTAATGATTTGCGTTGAATTCTGGACGCAGCTGCTACCTATCACATGTATCTCTATCGAGGCAGGTTCTATATATACAAAAAGCTCGATTGTCGTGCAGTGATTGAGCAGCAATCAAGTTTGTCGTACTATTGGTGTAAAGAGCATTTTTATTAAGCATGATGATAATGTTAGAGAGATGGTTGATGTTAGGCATGTTCAAAATAGCTGAAAGAATTTACTATCAGTTGAGGCTTTAGAGGTCAAAGGCTTAAAGTAAGTTATTGAGCTATGAGTTCTGAGAATTTATTATGGAACACTTCTTTTTATGAAGGGAGATCATCATTACAACTTTCACTATCTCAAGGTAGTACAATGATTGAAATTATGACTGTTATTGATGATTCTTCTTACACTGGCATATTGTATGGTGGCTAGCTCATATTGAAGAGGCTTTACTTCAGGTTTTGGTGAAATGAGAATTAATCAAAGGAGCAAGCACCTGCAAGCTTAACTTTGTAAGTATTGTGTGTTTGACGAGAAGACATAAGTATCTTTTGATATTGTCATCCACATTACAAATGTTATTTTAGAGTTTTCACACAAATATTTGGGGTCTGATTAAGACTACATTATTCATCAAATAAAGATATTTTTATCACTTTTGTCGATCATTATTCAAGATATGTTTGGGTGTACATTATAAAGTGCAAGAACAATGTGCCAAAGATTTTCACAACTTGAACTAGTAAAAAAATATGGTGTATCAGATCAAATAATAAGAGAAAATACACATCATATAAGTACTTGCAAGAGTACTAGAGAGCTAAGATATGTATTTTCTCTTATTATCGACAAAAGTATTGGAGTCCTTCAAGGATTGGACAGCATCACTTCACTCTTGAAGGACACCACATCAAAACGGGGTGGTAGAGAGGTTGACTAAAACTTTAGTGGAGTGAGTTCGGTGTATGTTGTCCAATTCTTGGTTGGATAGTGTCTATTGGGAATGGGATATAGACTATAATTGCCACTCAGTGAACTATTTGTCTTTTATAGCCATTGGAAAGAAGATCCCAAATGTCAGGGTATCATACTAGAAATTACGAGCACATGAGAGTATTTTAGTGTCCAACTTATTACAACATGCAGAATGATAAAATAGAATAATGAAAAAAAAGCAATCTTCAATGCCTTCAAATGTGGAGTTAAAGAGTTTCAAATTTTATGATCAGATAGAGAAGAAAATTGTCATTAGTGGAAATGTTACATTTTACGAGGGGAGCTTGTTAAAATTCTGGAACTCAAAGCATGTATAGAGTTTTATGGCACTATATATATGAAACAAAAATTAGAGTTTGAAAAAACTTCATTTGTTCCATAGAAGTTTTTCACTCCTACTTAGATACATGATTCAGTTGCAACTGAAGTACCTATTGATAGTGCTCAGGAGGATGAGGAAAAAGATGTTGAGGATGAAATCCTTGGTCAATAATTTATTACTAGAAGCAGGAGCAGGTGTCATAATATCCAATAATTAACTAGGTTGATGGATCACATTGTATTTGCACCTTTGAACACAGAGGCTAAAATTTATTGTCATTATAAAGAAGTTGTAGAGAGCCCAGATGTAGGCGCTTTGGAAGAATGATACCTAGACACTAGTGAAGCTTCCTCTAGGAAGAAAAATCATTAGGTGTAAATAGTTGTATGCAAAGAATGAAGGTTCTCATTGAACTATTGTATGATACAAAGGCATGGTTGGTAGTAAAAAATTTTACGTAATGAGAGGAGATTGATTATGACGATATGTTCTGCCCAGTGATCAAGCATCCCTCGATTCATGTTCTCTCAGCACTCATAGTGCATTTTGGTTTGATTTTGGAGCATCATGATTTGAAGATTGTGTTCCCACATGAAGAATTGCACGAGGAATCTGCATGTTGCGGTCACCAAGATATGGAGCCTCAAAATAGTTGATTTGTAGATTGGATAAGTCTGTATTTGGTTTGAAATCGTCATCATAATAGCAGTTTACGAAATTTGATCAGTTTATGATGGGATAAGAGTACACGCGTGTGATTGGTCAATTGTGAGTTCATCTACTTGCTTCTATATATTGATGATTGTTGATTGTAGCTTTCGTTAAATATGGGTTGATAAAATGAAGAAGCAGCTATTCAAACATTACAAGATGGAGTTGGGTGAACCTCACAAAATTTTTGGCACAAAAATTCTTAGAGACAAGACAACTGAAAGGCTTAACCCTCCTAAGTAGCATATGTTTCAAAATGTGCTAAAGAAACTTGGCGTTGATTAATCAAGCAAGGGAGTAAGTCTACCATTGTATCTCATCTAGTTGAGTTCATATTAGTTTCCTAAAGATGATCAAAAGAGAAAATACATGGGATCAATTTCTTATGCTATCACAGTGGGCAGACTGATGTATGTTATAGTTTGTACTGAATTAAATATTACATAAGTAGATGATTTTGTGAGCATGTTCATGCATGATCCATAAAGAAGTCATTGGCAGGCTATGAAGAATATTTTGAGCCATTTGAAGGGTATAATTGTTGTTAGCTTGGTGTTTAGAAACCATTTTTTGGTTCCAAGTTTACTTTTTTATGCGTCGAACTCGATGCTTTAAGAACAAAAGTTCATTCAATTAGATTTCAAAGTTTTTGAAATACTTCAATGAAACTTTTTTTGAACAATCTTTGCACCAATTTAAGCATCGACGTCCTGAAAGGCTAAAATTATGATTACGAATAAATTAGTCTGTTCATGGCTTCAGTAGGAGATTCATGTTGATGTCTTGGGATAGTCATATCATGGCTTCAGTGGGATAGTTTTCCTTAACAAATTTTTGAAGGATTCAATGTACATATTATTGGATGTGACAATTTTTAATATCTGAAAACAGAGGGCAAATGATATATCAACATAAAATTATTTAACAAAACACAAATACTAATTCAACTGAAAATTTTCAAAAATAAATTTAAGACCATTCATTCACCAATTTTAGCAAAACTTATAGTCAAACCGACCGTCTAAATGATATGAGCCGAGCTCCAATAAAAGTAATCTAATTGAGCTCAAATAAAAGTAATCTAATCGAGCTCAGATCAAACACCTAAAGCCTGAACTCTCTATCATTCAAAAGACAATAAATCATATTCCAAGAAAATACTTCTACAACAATGAGCGACGCAAGAGCTTCCGTGATGGTAATGGTTGCTACATTCAAGTTAATGATAACTGATGTTCCAAGTGTTGGTGCGGTCAAGAGGAGATAGAGCTACTAATGATTCATTTTCAAGCCGAGCTGGAGTCGGCTTCCAATTGGCTCAAATGAATTGAGTGTGGCTCAAAATCAACTTGTGACTCGTTACATTAGATTCAAGCTCAAAATTGAAACTAACTTGCTCAAATGAGTTATTTATATCTGTTCTAGCTTGAATTCAGCTCGATCCAGCTCGAAATTGACACGAGCTAGCTCAAATCATAAAAAAATTGAGATATAAAAGAAAATCAAATCTCCTTCAAAGATTGTTTTAAAAATCTACTGCAAACCTTAATTTCAAATCATATGTGAGGCTGACTTCCAAATCTACATTATTCATATCTTTATGTAACTCGAGGTATTTTAGCTTTAAAAAAATATAGCTCATATTATTGAGAAATTATTCTATAAGGACAGCATATCCAAAGATACATGTGTTGTCTGATCTCAATCGTCGATCACAGTATTTTTATTTTTTATTTTTAAATGGGGCCTACCGAAATAAAATTCTATTGTGATCTTGTTGTTATCTTTTTGTGATCGACAGTCAAGATCGGACAGAACATGCATGCGATGTCCGTATGAAATAATTTTTCCATATTTTTATCCAAAAACAAATCTAATATTAGAAAAGAAGGAAGATTTACATTCCCACAAAAAAATAAAAAAATAAAAATTATGGAATTTCTTGTAGAACTTCGTTGATTCTATAAAGTCATCAATAAAGAGAAATTTCACCATGAAAAAGACCCTTTTCATATTTTAATAAACAGAGACCTGTTAAGATGAACTTCATCATTTAATATATCATTTGAGATACATTTTCACGTGTCAAAAAAAACCTTATATTGTCATAAATTTACATTTTTATTCATAAATTTACTATTTAAATCAGAAAAATTTTGCGTCACACGATATAATAATTATTTTACTAATTATATATAATTTATTAATATTTTACACATAATTTATAGCAAATGTCAAAAAACATTATTTTAGGAAGATTTACATACATACCACTCAATTCTTATATATTTTACCATCTAACACTTTATGAAAATTAAAATAATAATATTTTTGATGTGATCTAATAGATTTAGGTGGTGTACATGTTAAAAAATAAAATTGAAAGGTTAGATATGTAAAATATAAGTTATTTGGGTGGTACGTAAGTAAATAAATGCCTCTTTTTTAATCCCACGATCCTTCTCACCCAATATTTTTACTTCACAATACAAAATAAACAGTTAAAATAAAAATGAAAAAAAAAAAGAAAAGAGAAAAAACAAGAAATCACAGCACGACTTCCCGGTCGTCCCCAGCAGGCGGCGCGACGCTGCGACTTCCCGATCGAAAATCAACTCATCAATCACAGAGGAGAGGAAGGAGGGGAGGCGGAGGACGTAGAGGAGGGAGTGTTCCAAGGAGTCATGTCCATCGGGTAGCTGCCGAGCACTCGCAAGAAAGATGTAAACTCTTGAATCTCGGCGAGTGCGTTCTGCGCGCGTGTTTCCGCCATGGAAGCCTCAAAATCGAGGTAGAAGAGGTACTCAAAGTGCTTCGCCGTGCCTACGTTGGCGTCGTCGACGAGTCGGATGGGGCGATTGCGGTGCGGCCGACTCTCGATCTTCGTCAGCGAGATGTCACGGAAGGCGAAAGCGGAGAGGACTTTGAAGAGCAGAGATGTGCCCTCGCGGTCGTGTGCGAAGACGATGCTCGTTTTGAAAGGCCGATCTGTGCGAGGAATGATCGGCTCCCGCGCTAACATCACGAACCGCGTCACGTTACCGGAGTCGTCTTGGATCCCGTCAGCCAGGATCTGGAGGCCGTAGAGCTCTGCAGCACGAGCAGAAGCGATCGCCGCCGTGTCGCGCAGCCTGTCACGTCCGGGCCCTCCGGCAGCCGTATCGTCGAAGGCCTCGCGGGCGACGTTGAGACCTAGATTAGTGAGAGTGTGCTCGCACTGCGCCAGTGCTTGAGGGTGGCTGATGACGCGGGTGAGGTACTCCTTGCGCACGCCGGGGAGGCAGAGGAGGCAGTGGTGAACCGGAAGCTGGACCTCGCCGACGATGTGGAGTCGGTGACGTAGAAGGAGGTCGTAGTTACGGTGGATGCTGCCGCCGAGGGAGTTTTCTACTGGGAGGACAGCGCGGTCAGCGATCCAAAGTTCGACGGCTTGAAAAGCAACCTCAAACTGGTCACAGGGAATGGCCTCGCAGTTAGGGTAAGCGCGGCCGGCTGCTGCCTCGCTGTAAGCTCCGGGGACGCCCTGGTAGGCTACACGGAGTTGGGATCCGTGCATCGGAGCTGGGGAGAGATCGGAGATCGTCAGTGGTTTGGGGAGATTACCGATCGGAACCAGATCTAGCGCCGCCGATCCAGTTATATGCCCGTTCACCGCGGAAACGACGGGGGAATGCTTTATGCCGGGCTCATTGCCACCGCTGCCTTTGTTGCTATCTTCATCTCCGGCGGGCTTGTCCGTCTCCTCCTGTTTCTTGGAGACGGCGACCTTGCTGGAGAGTATGGCGCATGTGCTGAGCCAGTCGGCACGGTTTGATCCGACGATGCCTTTTGCGGAGAGCTCCGGGCGGTGGATACAGTGAACGCAGGGGGATCGACACCGAGGTTAAGCTGGTGGGGGAGACGGCGGATGGGGGTGGTGGGAGTGGCGGAAGCTGTTACAGACGATTGATTTGGGGGATGGGGGGATAGAATCGTCGCCATGGTTGAACTCAGATGGCCGAATTAACCTGTGAAAATGGATTTAGAAAACTCAAAATTTCGAAACTTTGAGCGATAAAAACGGGGAATAAAAGGGAAAAAAGCTTGAGAAGTTCTCGATGGAGAAGAACCCCAAGCTGATTTGGGGCTACGGAGATTGGGGTTTTATGCGTGGAAGAAAGCTGGGTGTTTGGTCAGAAACGGCAGCATAGGCTGCAGCGAGAGAGAGAGAGAGGGCGGGCGGGGAGAAGGGCAGGTGAGGTATGGTTTGGTGAACGCGGTCAATAAGCTACCTAACAACACCCCCACACGTGCCGTATTTTCCCGTTTTGCACGCTCGACGAGTGCAAATTTCACGTATGTGCGAGTAAGATGATATTTGTAACATTATCTAAAGAATTATGTACTGTTACATGAATAAATGAGATCAGATAAACTTTTTAAAGTAAATAAAAATGGCACTTTTAAGTGTTGTGTGATTGAACTCCCCAAAAATTTATCACCCCTTCTCTCCCAATAACTAGAAGATATACCTTACGTAACTCCTACATAATTGTTTTGTCACCACTTGACATATTTAACTTACTGCTTGATTCAGTGCCCAACTCTGGGCATCTCTTCCATTTTTTGCCCAACGCCTCGCTTCCCTAAATCCTATTTGCTTGAGCTACACAGACTCGCTGAGAGTAGAGATCGGAAAAAACAGTTTTTTTTTTTTTTGAAGTGTAAAAATGTTTAAAACTTATGAGATGTGTTCTTTTGGGAGTGCTCCTTAGCCCAAGCAAAATACATAAATTAGGTTCTCCGGTTACTTGGGTAGCTTATGTAAACATCCTTTCGCGGACATTTGGTTCAAGCTGCTTGATTTGATCTTGATTGGAATTACGCTCTTTCTTGACCTATCGCACGAGGCTTGCCACACATAAACTCTTCATGATTGTTTTTCAATTTGTTTGCCTAGTGTCCGTCTTATTTCTCTTATTTTCGATCCCTCCTCTACTCGGAATCGTTCTGACGGTTCAAGCAACGGGGCTATTTGAACACTTGGATAATTGCAAATGACAATTTTTTTTTCAGTTAAGACTCATTTAGTTGCTGGTTGAAAATTTAAAAATAAGAAAATTTACTTGAAGACCACATAACTCTTATGTATTTACAACTTAAACATCTAAATTTTATAACATATTATTGATCCAAACCATTAATCTATATAAATATATAAATATCAGAACATCTTTCTTCCAATCTTTAGGTATATTCATGCATTAATGACACCGTTAATACATATATATATATATATATATCTTAATCTTTTGGACATAATTATCATAATATATATATATATATCATAAGATATTCTCTTCCAATTTTTAGATATATTCATGCATTAATGATAATATTAAAAAAGATTTTTTTTTTTTTTGCATTTTATAGAAGTTGATAGTTATATTGTGGATATGATATGATATATTTGAGGGGTAAAAATGCAAAAAAGAAATAACATTTAGGTGTTAGATATATATTATTATAAACACCACTTAAACTTCTACAAAGATAAAAATTATAATTGAGTAATCAATGACCTTGGTGGGAGGTACACATTGATTTCGAAGTAATAGTCTTGCCTTGAAAATTTTCTACAAGTTCACTTTCCCAATGTAGAAATTTTCGATGATTCAATATATTTTCTTGGACAATAGAAAAGAGCAGCTCATGTGGCACCAAAACAAGACTTGATAAATCAAATTTTATTATTATTATTATTTTGGTAAATTTATAATTGAGTTGGATGTCTCAATAAGATGAATCAAATGACAACAAAAAATGTCTAATGCAGGTTCAAATAAGTCAGATCATGCTTAAAGATCTCCAAAACTTTCAAGATCATAATCAAATTAAACATCTTGATGAGATACATCTAAAAAACCTAAGTTTTCTTAATTCGGAGAACGTTCTGAAAGTCCAACACTTGAGAAGAATTTTATGATCATGAAAATTAGTCATGATTGTGCAACAGAGTGACTTGGAATCTACCATTATTCATAGGGGATGTCACTCCAAAATTTCACAAGGATATCTCACCTTCTGCATGAGACATGACAAGGACTTGGAGGGGGAAAGAGATAAACTAAAAAAATGAGAGAGAGCTCAGAGCTTTAAAGGATCTGAAAGCTCTACCAAATCACTGTTGTTGAATCACTAACATCTTTCTACCACTCTTGGACCACAACTAACCACCTTTGTCAAATCACCAAAGCATATCCAACCACCTCCATTAGGGTACCATCATATGCCCGCCATTTTTAGTTGTCTGTTTTCATCGAGCAGTTACTATCTATCCGGAATCATCACCCAACAACATAAGTAGACCACCAGTTACAAGTCAAGACCACCTGACCACCAATGTCAAACTGTCAGCCCGTAATCGTAAGACTGCCACTATTGATATACCAGTGTCAATCATTAATGCCCAAAATACCATCATTAGACCACAACTAGTTATCCACCACTATTACATTGTCATTAACTATCTATTATCATTAGCACATGCTACCCATCCACCATCATTTGGATCTTATAATTTGACTAATATCGTCAACCTATCACCACTATTAAGCTGCCCCAAACAGACCCTAAGTCTGAATGCATAGAAACGTCACACTAAATTCATTTTTTTATAGCAATGAGCTCCTGAGGCGGGCGAGGAAACCCCTTGTGATCAATTCTCTCTTAAAATTATCTTTTATTTATGTGTGTAGAGTATTTATGCAAAATTATAATAAGCTAATATTTCATTAAGCAATTAAAAATTTTTAAAAACATGCAGCGGTGCTCCGGAAATAATATAAAAGCTACTTAATCTACACTATTGCTCGGATGGATGTTTAGTGCCTTGAACATTCAAAAGACTGTCTTAATTTTATTTTTAATCCTCTTATCATAATATTTAATTATTATTTTAAAAATAGTTGTGATTATAATTACATATCATATAAGCATTTTTTAAAATAGTTATAATTATAAAATTTAAACTATTATAAATATTTTAATAATACTTTATATAGGCTCTGCATAAAAAATGAGTACTAAATTACAACAACGACACAATTTGTGAATATAATATTTTCTAAGATCCAACCACCGAATCTCGATCCCATTCTCATATCGTATACTTTTTCTTGTTTTATTAGATATTAATTATATTCATATAAAGCAATTAGTGCTGTCAAAATAGTTTTTTTGTTCGTGATCAGCTCATTATTCGAGAATAACTCATGTTCGGCTCGTTAAGAAGCTTGTGTTTAATTCGTTAGCTAAACTAAATTGTCAGCTCATTTGTTTGTCACTATTATATATATATATATATATA